CGGCCCCAATCGCTCTGCACTGTCAGTGGGTGCAAACAGGGCTGGCGTTGTCAGCATGTGGTAGTGGCAGCAGCAGGCGCGGGGCTGCCGGCAGACAGGGGACCGGGGGCCACGGCGGGAGGGGCTGTGGAGGATGGACGGAGACCTGCCCCTGTACCCACCGCAGCCTTGCAGCCTGCAATGTAAATTCAAGGTGCACAAATTCGTGCACTGGGCCCATAAGTAGTAGTAATGACATTACTGTTTGTAATAGTTAAAAGGCTTTCTGTGGCTCTCATATTCATGTTTCTTATTGTTTCATATCTTAACAATATGTTCTGGAACACAAAAACTTAGATCACATCATAAGAAGACTAATATTTCAATGACTTAATGAAATAAGGCCAAGACTAACTAGTTTCGCCATAGCAGAGGTTCATAATTCATTTCATTAACCAATAATGTTTATTAAACATGCATGTAGATGTAAAAAAATACAGAGAACATACTATTAAAAGGTGAAGAAGCTTAGAAGCACAAATATCCACAATGTTTTGTCTCATAGATTCACAATAAATGTGAGTTGAATTAAAATCTCTACTTTATATTAAAATAAGTGATATTATTTTATGTTTCTTGTGATCAAATTCTAAATATTGATTTAAATGTAAGTCACTTCTTTAGGAATTGGATCGAGGGTAATCAGGTAGGTTAATTCTTCCAGTGTAATTTAGCTCTATATTAGGAATACTCCAAGTATCCATACATTTACTCTCACTTCAATTGGAGTACATGTGATTTGCTTTCTGTTCTGTAGAGGCACTGAAATTAGTCAAGTCACTGGACATTCCAAAAGAATAGTGCTCAGCATGTCATTTTCAAAAATACTAGAGTCTTGGAGCCCTTAAAGAAATCAGCATCCAAAATAAGGATCATTATTACTTATAGATAAGTGATTGGTATTATTAGAAAGTATGTATGGTGATTTTTAAAAAGCAAAGTCAAGCCCTAACCAGTTTGGCCCAGTGGATGGAGCGTCAGCCTGCGGACTGAAAGGTCCCAGGTTCGATTCCGGCCAGGGGCATGTACCTTGGTTACGGGCACATCCCCAGTTGGAGGTGTGCAGGAGGCAGCTGATTGATGTTTCTCTCTCATCGATGTTTTGAACTCTCTATCCCTCTCCCTTCCTCTCTGTGAAAAATCAATAAAAAATATTAAAAAAAGAGCAAAGTCAAGAAACTATCTCAATTCATTTCCCTAACTAAACTATCAGCTCCTTGGGGAAGCAGCTGGGGGTACCTCCCAACGGTTGGCACTTTCGCTAGATACTAACTTCTGGGGACTTCCTCAGAATAGTGAGAGTACAGAGATGAATAAAATATGATCCCTGATCTCCAAAATCTAAGCTTAGTGGAAGAATAGAGTGTTCTTAAAACTTATAATTCAATGTGTATAACATGATAAGTGCTATAACAAAAGTGTGAACAAAGGACTATGGGAAAACAGAGAAGGAATGACTAACCTCTCCTTCTATCACGTAGGAAAATGACTTGATTTGAACATTTAATAAACTTTGATTGGTAGGGTGAGGGTTCTAAGATGCCATTTTTAAGTAGACTCTAAAGATGGAATATATAAATTAAGAACCCCAAAACATTTTCTGAATATGTAAGAGTTAAGGGGCAGGGGGATAAAGTTCTGAAAATGTTTTTTAAACTATGCTTCCTCAAAACTGTATGGGCTCCTCAGGAGTTCTCAGAGACCCAAAAAGGCATCAGGGTGCAAATGTACTCCAGGCCAGTAGCAGCCTTAAAGGGTATCTTTATTCTCCTTAATTCTCCATCAGCCTTTCCCTTTCATAACCCAAATAAATATTTAATCTTAACAAAAAATGGTGTGCTTGCTATGCAAATACCAGTAGATTCAAGAGAGGACTCCTAGTATTAACTGACTGATCATTAACTGGAAACTATGAGCATTCATAGTGTTATCAGTAACTTCCCTCCCAGAATGCTACCTGGGAGTTGTCATCATCACTTCCTTATGTGATGGATAATGTCATCAAACTCTTTTGCAAGAGTGAAGCATAACATTTTTTAAAATATATTTTATTGATTCTTTTACAGGGAGGAAGGTAGAGAGATAGAGAGTTAGAAACATCGATGAGAGAGAAACATCGATCAGCTGCCTCCTGCACATCCCCCACTGGGGATGTGCCCGCAACCCAGGCACATGCCCCTGACCGGAATCGAACCCAGGACCTCTCAGTCCGCAAGCCAATGCTCCATCCACTGAGCCAAACCGGTTTCGGCGAAGCATAACATTTTGGTACAATTGCTCTTCACTCTATGAAGACAGGTATTTCCCTTCAATAAATTTAGGTAATCGCAATTTTCCACTTAAAGATTAGAACTCATTTACTTCACGTTAACGAGTAGGAAAAGTAAAGTTCAGATAACTCAAAAAGAGTAAAAACATCAGAGATTCCTATTTTGTTTTTATCTGTAAAGGAGCAATCTTAGATGAATGTGTCACATGACTTTAAAGGATAGAATTCCTGATTTACACAAACAGTGCTGAAAGAAAAAGATTATCCAATAAATTTTATACGTAACATAAAATTTAAGACCTTTATTAAATACAAAATGACCTTTAAAATTTTTGTGTTTAAAAAAACAACAAACCCATAAAATTTTACTATCTTGCCCTAACCAGTTTGGCTCAGTGGATAGAGCGTTGGCCTATGGCCTGAAGGGTCCCAGGTTCGATTCCGGTCAGGAGCATGTACTTTGGTTGCAGGCACATCCCCAGTAGGGGGTGTGCAGGAGGCAGCTGATTGATGTTTCTCTCTATCCCTCTCCCTTCCTCTCTGTAAAAAAATCAATAAAATATATATTTTTTAAAAATTTACTATCTTAACCATTTCTAAGTAGAGCTAAGTAAATTCACATTGTTGTGCAACCAATCTCCAGAACTTTTCCATCTTGCAAAACTGAAACTTTTATAACAACTTTTCCTTTCCTACAGCTCCTGACAACCACTATTCTACTTTCTGTATCTGTAATCTGAATACTCTTGACACCTCATATAAGTGGAATCATATAGTATTTATTTTTTTGTGACTGGCTCATTTCACTTAACATAATGTCCTGAAGGTTCACCCATGTTCTAGCTATGTTTCAGAATTTTCCTTCCTGTTCAAAGCTGAATAATATTCCATTATACATACCATATTTTGTTTACCCATCAATGGACACTTGGGTGGTTCTACCTCTTGGCTATTATGAACATGAGTGTGCCAAATATGTCTGTCAGATTCTCTTTCAATTCTTTGGGATACAGAACTAGAATTAGAATTGCTGGGTCACATAGTAATTGTCTGCTTAATTTTTTGAGGAACCTCCACAACGTTTTCCTTAGTGTACTGTTTTATATTCCAAAGTGATCTTTAATTTGCAGCTAGAATGAATGAACTATAAAAATGAAAATCTTGCCGAAACTGGTTTGGCTCAGTGGATAGAGCGTCAGCCTGCAGACTGAAAGGTCCCAGGTTCAATTCCGGTCAAGGGCATGTACCTTGGTTGCAGGCACATCCCCAGTAGGAGATGTGCAGGAGGCAGCTGATCAATGTTTCTCTCTCTCATCGATGTTTCTAACTCTCTATCTCTCTCCCTTCCTCTCGTAAAAAATCAATAAAATATATTTAAAAAAGAAAAAAAGAAAATCTTTACAAAAATGGCATTTTGAGGAAAACTAACAACAAAAATCCAAAGCTTTAGATTCTCTGAGACACAAACCCTTGCCCTACCAAATATTTATATGGTGGGAAGGGTTACTATCTGGCACTGATTCAGACACAATGATTTTAATCATTATACACCTTAAAATCCTTCCCTGCCATTTATGATCTTTCTAGGTATACCACCAAATCAGTTTCAGGCTAAGAAAAGTTCTTCACAAATGAAAGTTTTCAGGATCAAAAATATATAAATACACACATAATATATATACCCAGATAGAGACAGATATCCCTATATCAAAGACCGGAAGAGAAAATTACCTGATGATTTCTTCATGATACAGAGAACTAACAACTGGTCCGCCAAAACCAGTATTTGCTTCTTTTCCTTTCTTCTCTGGTAACTGTGGGAGGGATAAAAGGTAGAAAAAAAGACACACGGGTTAAAGCAATGTGTATTTAAACTAGTTACAAAACACTACTTTGCAAAGGATTACTAAAAGTTTGACAGTCCACCATTTCTTGAAGGTGCTAGTTAACAATTTCAAGATGGTATCAAAAAGGCAAGTGTGCTCTCAGGTCATCAGAGCAGTGGAATGAGTATCCACTAGCAAGCTATGTTCATTCCATTAGTGCCTATGGAGTCACCTAAAAGCCATTCCCCTAACTCAGTGGTTGGCAAACTGCGGCTCGCGAGCCACATGCGGCTCTTTGGCTCCTTGAGTGTGTCCACAAAGTTTCAATCACACTGTACGTGTGCGCCACACGTGGTATTTTGTGGAAGAGCCACACTCAAGGGGCCACAGTTTGCCGACCACTGCCCTAACTGATTATAAGATGTTAGCTAAGTTCAAGGTAGAAAATATGGATGTTCCATGTGGAAAAATGAGGCCCTGGTCAGCTTTCTCAGTGGTTAGAGCATGGGGCCCCAATACTGAAGGGTCTTGGGTTTGATCCCTGGCCCCAGTTGGGCTTTGTGTGGGAGGCAACCAATTGATGTGTCTCTCTCACATCGATGTTTCTCTCTGTTTCTCTCTCTCTGTCCCTCCCTTCTTTCCACTAAGAAAATTAATGGAAAAAATATCCTCAGGTGAGTATTAAAAAAATATGAAATAAAGGTGATCAGGAAAATCATATCTACACTAACAAAATTAAACCCCCCCCAAAAAAACTACATAGTACACTACCTAAACTACATAGTAAAACCTAAAATTCAACCATAAAAAAAATATTTTTAGGTGGTGGAAAGGAAGAAGGTGGAAGGGAGAGAGGAAGGAAATCTAAAATAAAAGAAAAAGAGCCAAATAAACTCTTATGGAAGCACGTTCCAAAACCAAGTATTCAATACTCTGTTTCTTGATATTCTTAAAAAGCGCAAGATTAAATTTAGAAATAAGATTCTTCCAAAAATGTAATGTGGAAGCAGTGAACTTGGATGTTACCACTGTCTGAAAGGCTTAAATTGCAACTTTTGCAAAAGCCCACTTCTGCAATATTGAGTCTTGACACCCTTATTTAAAATCAATTGGCCATAAAAATGAGGTTTTATTTTTAGACTCGATTCTATTCTACTAGTCCAGTGGTCGGCAAACTGTGGCTCGCGAGCCACATGTGGCTCTTTGGCCCCTAGTGTGGCTCTTCTACAATACCACGTGTGGCGCGCACGTACAGTGCGATTGAAACTTTGTGGCCCATGCACAGAAGTCAGTATTTTGTGGAAGAGCCACACTCAAGGGGCCAAAGAGCCGCATGTGGCTCACAAGCCGCAGTTTGCCAACCACTGTACTAGTCTATCCTTATACCAGTACCAATGTTATAATTACTTCAGCTTTATAGTGTGTTTGAAATAGCAAGTGTGAATTCTCCAATTTTGTTCTTTTTCAGTATCGTTTTACTATTTGGGTCCTTTGCAAATCCATCTAAATCTGAGAACTGACTTTTTCATTTCTGCAAAAATGGCATTTAGAATTTTGGTAAATGATTGCATTGAATCTGTAGGTCACTTGGGTAGTACTATCATCTTAACAATATAAAACCTGCCGATCTATGAATCTTTCCATTTATCTGGGTCTTCTTTAATTTGTTTCAACAATGGTTTATAGTTTTCAGTGTAAAACCTTTCACCTCCTTGGTTAAAATTATTCCTAGGCATTTTATTCTTTTGGATGCTATTGTAAATGAATTTTTTTTTTTAGTTTTCATTTTGGGGTTTTCATTGCTGGTGTATAGAAACACAACGGATTTTTGTATGTTGTGTATGTTGCTCTCGTATCTCACAAATTTGCTGAATGAATTTATTAGCTCCAATAGTTTTTTGGGAGATTCTTTGGATTTTCTGTAAGAATCATGTTACCTGTCAACAGAGCTAGTTCTGCTTCTTCCTTTCCATTATGAATGCTATTTACTTGTTTTATTGCTCTGGCTAGAATTTACAGTACAATGTTGAATAGCAGTGGTATAAGCAGGTATCCTTGTCTTATTCCTGATTATAAGGGGAAAGTTTTCTGTCTTTCACCATTGAATGTAATGTTACCCGTGGCTTTCTCATAAATGCCTATTGTAATGTTAAGTAAATTTCACCTTCATTTTTAAAGCTGTCTTAAATGGTATAGAATTATGAGTAGATAGTTTTTTCCTTTTGATGTTGCCCCTACTGATTTCAGATTTCTGAAAAGAAGTTTGCTGTAGTTCTTATATTTGTTCCTCTGTATCCTTTTCTTTTCTTTTTCTTTCTTTCTTTTTTTGATCTGGATGCTTTTAAGATTTTTTCACTGGTTTTCACCAATTTGATTATGATATGTCTTGGTGCTTCTTCTGCTTGGGGTTCACTGAGCTTCTTGGATCTATGAGTTTATGGCAGTGATTCTCAACTAGGGGAGTTTTGAGGTTTTTTTGCCCTCTCTTTTCCTCCAAGGATATCTAGCAATGTCTAGGGCAATTTTTGGTTGTTGCAAGTGAATGGTCCTATTGGCATCTAGTAAGTAGAGACTGGAGTTGCTGCTAAACATCCTGCAATACATAGTTCAGCCTTCTGCAACAAAGAATCATCCAATCTCAAATGTTAATGCTGCAAAGGATGAAAGACTCTGATTTATAATTTTCATAAAATGTTTAAAATATCAGCTCTCATTCATTAAACTGTTTCATTTTTTTCTCGCTTGCTTTTTGTCTTCTTTCTGGGACTCCAATATGCTACACATTGCTTGGTATTTTCCCATAGCTCATTAGGCTTCCGTTCATTTTTGTTCCGTCTTTTTATTCTCTGTGCTTGATTTTTATTAGTTTCAATTGCTACATCTTCAAGTTCACTAATCTTTTCTTAAGCAATATCTAAGCTTCTGTTAATTCCATCCAGTGTGTTATATCAGATACTAGAGGCCCGGTGCACAAAAATTTGTGGGGAAGGGGGGGTCCCTCAGCCCAGTCTGTGCCCTCTCTCAGTCTGGGACTCCTCAGGGGATGACCACCTGCTGGCTTAGGCCCGTTCCCCAGGGGATTGGGCCTAAGATGGCAATCAGACATCCCTCTGGCAGCCCAGCAGCCCTCGGGGGATGTCCACTTGTCAGCGGGGAGCAGACCTAAGCTGCAGTCGGACATCCTTAGTGCTGCTGAGGAGGCAGGAGAGGCTCCCACCACCACCGCCGCACT